TGTTATTCTGCTAAATCATCCTTGAATATAAATCTCATGACTTTCTACGTTAAATGTAAACAAAAACTGGCCATTTTCTAATAGTCTTAAATAAATGAAATTAATCTAGAACATAATACTTACTTGGGTAACATCTGGTCCTTTCTCAGGTTCTGCACCTAGAGATGCAGCTTTCTCTTCACGCATCTTAGCTATTACAGCTTCTTTTTCAGCAGCTTCACGTGCAGCTCTCTCCCGAGCCTCTTCCTCCTCTTTCCTTTTCTGCTCAGCTTCAGCAGCCTCACGTTCCAAACGTTCTTCTTGTTCTTTTTTCTGACGTTCCCTAGCCTAATGTAGGACATATAGTTAAAGAAATGTACTACTAAAAAGGAAAAAAAAATATATAGATATATGCCAGGAAAATGAGGAAGTAAAGTCGATGGCTATGGCCGAATAAGTTATAGAACTACATACTTGATCAGCTTCAAGTGCTGCTTGGAAGGCAGCATCCTGTTCCTCCCTCAAACGCAAGTTGCTTCTTCTTTCTTCTGCTTCAAGCCTGGATGAAACAAGAACAGGAGCACTTTCTTCAAGCACTCTCTGCAGTATAGTGAGCATTTCTTCGGGAGATTTTGGTCCCTCAACCTGCACAAATTGACTCGACCAGGTAAACAAGTCAATATTGTAATTAGCATGCCATAACTCTGTAACAAGGTCCCAATTGATTTGAGATATATTCCCTTGCTTTGATTTTCATTTTAATTTCTCAAACAAGATACAAATATATGAGAAACATATATAAAGGAAAAAATAAAAATAAAAAATAGACAACACAGAATGCCCAAACAGCAACAAATTTTCATTATCTTAATTGTCTATTGCAAGGTGTCAGAGAATAATAAAGTCAAAAGAAATGATCCACCAGACAACGCTCATGTCAGGATTCAAACGTATGTTAAATACAGGATAAAAAAATATTGGATTATATTAGTTGATCCCCCTTTAGCCTACTTTTTCCATCATGCACTACGTTTGACTACCACGATAAATCTTCAGAAGTTTGATTTTATTGAACGCCCTCATCGAGCATAGTCTTCAGTTCAACGTACAACAAGATTCAAGGGGAATACCCCTGTACTAAATCTTAGAAATGGTTGTTGCAAAATATATATAGTCAGATTAACAAAATTAAGAACAACAGGCACATAATGATGCCAAATGAATAATATGAATGCTGAGAGTTCAGTAAACCTCAAGCCTCAAATTCAAACTTATTTTATAAATCAACACATTCAAATTAAGAACAAAGATCATCATTCCTTGAAAACATGCAAGAGGAGATGGAACCATAACTTCAGGAATGACATCCAATTCTTATTCCTGAAAAAGTCCAGAAGATGCAGTAAAGCACCCATTTCCATACCATCCTACAGCAAGGCACCCTACCCCTCAATCAAGATTTCCAATACACATTTAACCGGTGATAGTGTAGTTATAAGTCCCCGTTTGGCTCCCATTATTTGAAATTTTAATATTTGGAATGATATTTTTTTGGAGAATGGACGGTTAAAGAAGAACGAAAAGTTTTCAACTTACGTGTAATATTATTTTATTGGAGAATGAGTGGTTGAAAAGAAGAGAAAGAAAACTGTATTAAAATTTTAATCGAGGCCAAAAAAGGGCCAAGTCTCCAGCCAGCCACTCTGCAATGCACAGAAGTTGGATGACATCCTCCCAGGCTCCTTGCACATGTTTACCAACTTATCCAAATCCTTTTACTCCAAAGACAATCAGCACTAAGAACGCCACCTAGAAGCATCCCAGGCACAGGAAAAGACTCACTTCGGAGATTTTCTGTTCTATATCACTTTCCACAGAAAATTTATCACACGCCATCTTATACATAACCTTTTTCTCCTACCAAGACTATCAGCAGTAACAATTTCTATACGGACACCGACTTTATATGATTTTTCTACAATTATTTTTCCTTTTACTGCATTGTGGGAATGTGAGGGAAATTGAATGTGTAGCACAGGTTTTTGTTTTGTTAAAAATAAAAAATGGTTTTTTAGAACCAAACCGGAACCGGATGGTTCTGGTCAGTTTTGATTCCACCCTTACATGTTCCATGTATAAAATTCCCATTTTCAATTGGATCAGTCCATGCCCACCCATATTCTTCCTTTCAGAAGCCATTGAAATATAAAATAAGTGCATCATAGTTCATGTTTCTTCAGAGGACAAGCAAAGCGTGAAACACTTCTGCAGTCTGCAACACTCTAAAAACTAGCAAAATCCTCATAACATATAATTGACATTGATGAAAATCTTTAAGTCGTAAACCAAATGCTAAGTTATCTGTCTTATTAGACCAATCATATCTCACACCTTCCAAAAACAATGTGTCCTCATCAATATCAAAAAGCCCAAAGAAGTTACAAAAAAGAAGGGGGGCAAAAAGGAGAGGACAATAAAGGGAGCATTGTATACAACAGACATTAAATAATATGTATTTAATATCTATTTTCAGGTCTAAGAGATTGTTAACAGACTTCAAAATTCCCTTCATCCAAAATGTGAAAAAAATGGTCAAAGAAACTCACATCAAACGGTATAGACAAAAGAAAAATAGATTTAAACAATTAGCCTAGGTATTCATTAAAATTCTTCAGACAAGTAAAAATTAAAAAAAAAAAA